AGCAATCTTCCATCCTTGGCCTCCCAAAATGTTGAGATTACAGGTGTAAGCCACTGCGCCCAGCCTAATTTTTCATTTTTATGGGCCGTAGTAGGTATATATATTTATGGGGTACATGAAATATTTTGTTACAGGCATATAGTGTGTAATAATCACATCAAGGTAAATGAAGTGTCCATCACCTCAAGCATTTATCATTTCTTTGTGTTACAAACACTCTAATTATATTCTTTTTGTTTTTGTTAAATGTGTAATAAATTATTGTTGACTGTAGTCACCCTGTTGTGCTATCAAACACTAGGTCTTATTCTTTCTACTTAACCATGTTTTTGTACCCATTAACCAGCCCCACTTTTCCCCCTGCCTTCCCCACTAACTATCCCTCCTAGCTTCTGGTAACCATCACTGTACTCTCTGACAACTTTTCTGTAACTCTAAATTTATTCCAAAATAAAAAGTTTATTTAAAAAAGAGGTAGAAAACAAAGAGGGTGGAGACATCCAGATGACACAATACGGTGAATTTGAGACTACACGCTCTTCCCACTGCTGCCGTGCAGAAAGGCCATGGGGACATCTATAACCACCCTGCTAAAGTCAGACTGGACTTCCAAGGAAGTGAGGTGGGTGCCCAGGGGACAGAAACCAAGATAGAGATAGAAAGCAAAGCAAGCCTATTGCTCCAGAGGCCTGGGTAGGGCATCAGCCTCCATAATGCATGGACTGAGGTTTTAACACCCACACGGGGTAGGAGGTGAAGTCAGAGCTATCTAAAGCAGGGAATTGAAACTGGAACCCTTAGAGCAGAAACTCATGAAGAGTTTCATCTTCAGCAGAAGGGGAACCAGGGGGAAAAATATCCTCCTACAGTCACAGAGAGATGACCAAGAAGTTTGCTTCATTCTAAACTCAGGGAAGAAAGCGCTAGACGTCCCTTCTGCAGTCTACGTTAGTGAGGTCCATGTTGTCAAATATAAACAGAATGTTAAAGCAATGCCGTCAGTGCTTTTAAGCCATGGGCTTAGATTAGTAATACATTTTAACTCTAAAATTAGAGAAATAGCAGACACTATACTTCTCATTAGTTGCGGGGGCTGTGTCTTAACTTTTGTTGAAGAAAATATGAACAGGCTAAGAAATGTGAATGCTTACTGTGATGTTTTGTGTTGCTGCACTGTGGGGTTATTTTACATTACTGGAGTCCTGCCTTCCATCTAGGGTGGGGTTTCTCAATCCTGGCACTACTGACATTTTGGGTCGAATCATTCTTTGTTGTGGGGACTTGTTCATTATAGAACGTTTAGCAGCACTCCTGACCTCTACCCATTTGATGCCAGCAGCCCCATCACTTCCAGTGGTGATAACCAAAAATATCTCCAGGCATCGTCCAATGTCTCCTGGCAAGGGGTGGGGGCAAAATCGCCCCTCACTGTTTGAGAGTGACCAACCAATTTCTGTTTGCTGGGAACTGTAGGGGTGCCCAGGATGTGGGACCCTCAGGGTTTTGTTGTTGTTGTTTTGAGTCAGGATCTTGCTCTATAGCCCAGGCTGGATGGAGTGCAGTGGTGTGATCGTGGCTCATTGCAGTTTTGACCTTCCGTGCTCAATCAATCATCCCACCTCACAGTAGTGAGGACTGCAGGCACACTCTACCATTCCCAGCTAATTTTTGTATTTTTATTTTTATTTTTTCATTTTTTGAGACAGAGCCTTTTTCTGTTGCCCAGGTTGGAGTGCAGTCGTGCGATCTTGGCTCACTGCAACCTCTGCCTCCCCAGTTCAAGCAATTCTCCTGCCTCAGCCTCCCAAGTAGCTGGGACTACAGGCACTTGCCACCATGCCAGGCTAATTGTTTTTTTGTTTTTTGTTTTTGTTTTTTGTTTTTTTTTTGTATTTTTAGTAGAGACAGTGTTTCACCATGTTAGCCAGGATGGTCTCCATCTCCTGATCTCATGATCCACCCGCCTCAGCCTTCCAAAGTGCTGGGATTACAGGCATGAGCCACCGCACCCGGCAATTTTTGTATTTTTTATAGAGACGGGATTTCACCATGTTGCCCAGTCTAGGCCTGAACTCCTGGATTCAAGAAATCCACCCACCTCGGCCTCCCAAAGTGCTGGGATTACAGGCATGAGCCACCGCTCCCAGCCAGGACTCTTGATTTTAAAACTGGGATGGCCCTGGGCACATTGGGATGGCTTGGCCACCCTACTCTCATCTCTAATACGATTATTTAGGATGTCAAGTAATTTTAGGATGGGTGGGAGTGAGCAAAGTGGTTTATTACCAGCAAATACTGAGTCATTCCAGTCACTCCTGGGCAAACTTAGCCAAGTTCTCACCGATGAGTGTCCTTGGTTACTGAGTGGAAAGAAGGTAGAAAGGATTTGCTGCTTCTCGTCCATGCTGAGGGAGAAACTGATTAAAAAGTAGCCATACGCAGTGATTCAGTAGAGCCTTTTTGTGTTGTGGGCAGTGCCTGAAAGTCCTCACAAAGAGCTCAGCAACACCCAGCGTTACAAAGGGCCCATCAACCCTCTTGGCCACTGGCACTTTAAGGTATCGAGGTGATATTCTCCTAGACCAATGCTCTCCATCAAGAAAGAAGGAACCTGAGTCTCAGAAATGGGTGGGGACAGGCCAAGGTGCTGTGCCCATTTACCTCCCCAAACAGAGGTCTTTCCTTTTGCCATGCAGAAGAGGATTAAGAGAGCAAATTCTGAACCAACAGGCTCCAGTTTGGAGACTGGCATGCATTGAAAGAGAGTTGGCCAGGATTGACCAGGATGGGTGGGGAGGTATCCCTGACCAGCACAGCTGCTGGGGTCGGGGAGAGGCTGTTCTGGTCAAAGGGGAAAGCCCAGTGGCACTGACCAGCCCTGAGAAGCATGGCCTGGAACCTGCCTGCCTAGCACAGCTATCTCGATGAAAGCAACTGTCCCTTTCTTTCCCCAGAGAAATGCACAGAGGTGCACACACACTTTTGATTTTGCATTTGATTCTGGGGAATTCACTGGATCCCTGCAGCCCATCAATCTGGGTTATAAAGCCCTGAGCTAATCATTAATAACCATACATTACACAATCCATATATTGCAAGTACTTGGTGAATTTATTTGGCCCAGTCAGTTGACCCAGTAACCCTGAAGTAGATGCTATAAAGATCATGAACTATTCTTAGACCTGCTAATATCCCATAATGAAGCATCATGCCAACTTCATGAGCAAAAACTTCGGAGTCGGGAAGCCTGGGTTCAAAACCTTACTATGCCACTTACCTGCAGGATGATCTTGGGCAAGTCACTCAACCTTAGCCTCAGTTTCCCTATATATGTGTTCGGCATATAGGGAAACTATAATAAATGCTCAATGAATATTGTTCATTACTTTATTACTTCATGAGCTCAGCCAACCACTATAGTGGCTTGCAGGTAAAAAGTCCATTAAAGAGTGACCTTCATCCCCCCTTGAGTGGGTGGCTGCAAAAGGCACCCCAGAGATCATCTAGTTTGAAGGTCAAGTTGGGAAAGAATGAACCAGCGTCTCGAAGCGAGTCAGATACAGAGCTGCGGGTAGGACCCAGGCTTCCCAACCCCCATCTAATAGATTTCACCCCCACTCACTGCCTGTCTTTGTGGACAAGCCATCCAACTTAGTATGGGAAAGGTTCTCAGCCTGCCTGTCTCTCCCCGCCAGTCATCCGGAGTCGTGGTTTCCAAAAAAAGTATCTCTTAAGAAGCTTTCAGAGGGGCTGAGACTTGAGAGAACTTTGCTGTCTAAACATGTTATTTAAAAAAAAAAAATTTTTTTTTCTTTTCAGAATTAAGAACAAATCCTGAACTCCAGGGGTTTGATGGGCAAAAGATATAAATAGTCTTGGCTATAGCGTGGCAATAAACACATGGGAAGCTGTGTACTCTTGCCAGTTAGCCCAGCATTGCAAATTGAAACGAGATACCCTTTTTTTTTTGGCTTATAAAATTTGCCAAGATTGTCATGAAAGTGATAACACTCAGCTCTGGCAAGGGCAGAGTGAAATGGGCACTCTCAGACATTATCGTGGGAGGATAAATTGCTTTCAGGAGGCAATTTAGCAAATTGTATTAAAGCCTTAAAACTCTCTCCTCAGAAAATCATCAGAAATGCCAAAAAAAGCTTTATGCACAAAGCTGCTCATCTCAGAATTATTTGTAATGGTTTAAAAAAGAGAGAAGCTATCTAATTATCCAAAAATAAGAGAATGATTAAATAAACTTTAGGAGAGCCACTCAGTAGAGAACTCAAGAGCTATTTAAAACGACGTTTACAAAAACGTATAATGACATGGGAGAAATGCTTATACTCTTTAATTTTTAGAAATCAGAATACCAACTGGTATATAGAGTACCATATAATCACATTAAAAAATCACTGCATACAAATGTGACATGAGAAAAAACTGTATCAAACCATTAACATTTTCCAGGTGTTCTATGATGTGCACGTATTATTTCTATAATTTAGTAAATGTAGATATGTTGTTTTTTGGATCTCAAGCATAGAATTGAATTGATGATAAGGGGACATGTTTTATTTTCATTCTTGAAAGTATGTACAAGGAGGCACAGTGGCTCACAACTGCAATCCCAGCACTTTGGGAGGCTGAAGTGGGAGGATCAGGCTGAACTTCGAGACCAGCCTGGTCAACGTAGTAAGACCTCCTCTCTACAAAAAAAAAAAAAAAAAAAATCAAGAAATTAGGCAGGCATGGTGGTACACACCTGTGGTCCCAGCTACTCAGGAGGCTCAGGTGGAAGGATCATTTGGGCTGGGAGTTGGAGGCTGCAATGAGCTATGATTGAACCAGTGCACTTCAGCCTGGGCAACAGAACAAGAACCTATCTCTTAAAAAAAAAAGATTAAAATTAAAAGATTGGAAGGAAAAGAAAAAAGGTACTAAGCTGTGGAAACAATGTCCGCACTGCCAACCTTCCTTCCTGTCTGTTTCCTCTCTGCGCCCAGCCCTGCCAGAGCTGCCCCAGCCTTCCCTGTGCCCCCTGTTCTGGATGGAGTTCAAAGGCCACTGCTATCGATTCTTCCCTCTCAATAAGACCTGGGCTGAGGCTGACTTCTACTGTTCTGAGTTCTCTGTGGGCAGGAAATCCGCCAAGCTGGCCTCCATCCACAGGTAAGTGGGATCCCAGTCACTTGTAGTTCAACTAAGCACCCCTTTGGGAAATGGGATGGAGAATGGTATTTCCAACTGGCATTTCTCTTTGGTGATTGAAACTCTTTGAAAAAAAAAAAATAGAGATGGAGTCTTGCTATGTTGCCCAGGCCCGTCTTGAACTCCTGAGCTCAAGTGACTCCCCCTTCAGCCTCCCAAAGTACTGGGATTATAGGCATCAGCCACAGTGACTGGCCAACTGAAACTACTTTTTATCCAACTCAATTGCTCATTGAAACCATCCTTGGCTATAGAAGGCCAAGTATTCAGCAGAGGTAGCAAATAGTATGCTGGAAGATCCACCTTTATAAGTGCCAGTCTTATGCTGCCCTCTGCTCTGTATCCTGTGATACAGCTGATATACTACACATGTAAAGAGTATAATGTAAAGAATATGAGAAATCATAACACACTTATTTGCTACATGTTTCATGTACATCATCACATTAAAGTTCTGTTAAACCCTATCACATGGGTATCTTCATTTTCCAGATTAGGAACACGAGGCTCTGAAAAGGTAAGTAACTTGCTCAACGTTACACAGCTCTTAAGTGGGAGAACCTAGTTTTGAACCTGTGGAGTCAGATTCATAGCCTACCCTGCAAGGCCTCCTTCCACATTCCTCTCTGTCTGAAGCCCCAGGCACACTGACCATCTCAAAGTTCTCCAATTTGGTCCAGCTCTTTTACTTCTCCATACTCTTAGACACTCTATTCCCCCTCCTGGGAATTTCTTCCCTATCTTCTCCTCCAGGTAAATACCTCCTCAACCTTCAAGACATCTCTGACAACACCTCTTCACTGAATTCCCTTCTGACACCCTAATTACACTCATTATCCAGCTCTCCTGGTACACTCCCTTTATCATAGCAGAGCTACCTGCATCTGACTTCTTCGCTGATTTGTGAATTTTCTCAGGCCAGGTGTGATGTGTTCCATTGGCACCTGAGCCGTCAATCTCAATCTTACCTCTGTTCTTCAAGAGACTACTGTAGAGAGTTGGTTTTTAAAAACAACAACAACAACAACAACCTTTTATTGGTGACATTGAAGAAAAGGTAGCTGGGGGGTGGGTGGGGCTACGTGGGCGGCCCCTCCTGGTCTTCCCGCCCCATCCGTGCGATCAGCTGTTGCCCATGCGCATCATGACGCTCGAGGCTCGTGCGGTCCCTCTCCCGCAGCACTGAGCCCTCTGACAGCCCTGGGTGGCTGCGGCCCATGGTGTCCTGGGGCTGTCCCTCCAACCAGGAAATCTTCAGAGGGTCATCCACCAGGCCAACTTCATTCTGGACAGCCAGCTCCGCAGCCCTGACCGTCGCGAACTCCACCACAGCAGTGCCTGCCTTCTTACCGGAATGGACCAGGTTGAGAACCTCAAGTTACTTTTGCAAAAACCGTAGAAGGACGTCTTTGGAGTAGCCACCTTTTGCCTCACCCTCCTTCTTGCACTTCCATTTTAGCTTTAGTCTGGGGGTTCCTTGGCCTTCAGTATTTTCTGTCTTTCCTCTCAATTTCTGGTCATGCTCCTGGCGTTTCTGCTCCCGGATCAGCCTCTGCTGTTCCTCCGGCTGCCGGGAACCCTCTTCCCTCAGGCGTTGGATCCCTTGCTCTAGTGTCCTGGTGCTCCGGCTCTCCTCCTCCTCCTCCTCACTCGCCTGGGCCTGGGCCTGCCGTTCCCGGGCCTCCAGATCAAGCTTCACGTTCTTCCTTTTCTCATCGTTTCTGGGCCCTCTCTGCTGCCTGCTTCTTGGCTTTCCTGACCTTGTCATAGGCAGCTCTGGCTGCAGCATGGGTCAGCACCTCCGAGGCCTGAGAAAGCTGGTGGAGCAGTTCAGCCGCTCTGGGATTATCTGGATTTTTGTCTGGGTGGCAGGAGAGGGGCCTGAGAAAGCTGGTGGAAAAGTTCAGCCGCTCTGGGATTATCTGGATTTTTGTCTGGGTGGCAGGAGAAGGGCCTGAGAAAGCTGGTGGAAACGTTCAGCCGCTCTGGGATTATCTCGATTTTTGTCTGGGTGGCAGGAGAGGGGCCTGAGAAAGCTGGTGGAAACGTTCAGCCGCTCTGGGATTATCTGGATTTTTGTCTGGGTGGCAGGAGAGGGGCCTGAGAAAGCTGGTGGAAACGTTCAGCTGCTCTGGGATTATCTGGATTTTTGTCTGGGTGGCAGGAGAGGGGCCTTCTGCCTATATGCCTTCTTCACCTCTTTGTCCACCGCCTTCTCCTCAATGCCTAGCAGCGTGTACAGGTCCATTTGTAAGAGCTCCTTGGTCACTGCCATGGTTTCTGCCTGATGCAATCGTGCTATCGAGAGTTGGTTTTTTATGTGTAGAGCCACTGACTTTTGTTAAGAATAGGGAAAGGGGACCGGGCGTGGTGGCTCATGCCTGTAATCCCAGCACTTTGGGAGGCTGAGGCAGGTGGGTCACTTGAGGTGAGGAGTTGAGACAGCCTGGCCAATGTGGTGAAACCCTGTCTCTTCTAAAAACACAAAAATTAACTGAGTGTGGTGGTGCACGCCTGTAACCCCAGCTACTCGGGAGGCTGAGGCAGGAGAATTGCTTGAACCCAGGAGGCAGAGGTTGCAGTGAACCAAGATCGCACCACTGCACTCTAGTCTGGGTGACAGAGTGAGACTCTGTCTCAAAAATAAAAAAGTAAATAAATAAATAAGGGGCTAGGTGCAGTGTCTCATACCTGTAATCCCAACACTTTGGGAGGCTAAGATGGGAGGATTGCTTGAGTCCAGGAGTTTAAGACCTGCCCAGGTAACACAGCAAGACCACGTTGCTACAAAAAAAACACAAAATTAGCCTGATGAAGTGATGCACAACTGTAGTCTTAGCTACTCGGTAGGCTAAGGTGGGAGGATCATTTGAGCATGGAAGGTTGAGGCTGCAGTGAGCCATGTTCAGTTAACTGCACTCCAGTCTGGGTAACAGAGCAAGATCCTATCTCAAAAAAAAAAAAAAAAAAACACTCATCTTTGCCTCCAACAGATGTGTTGAATAACCAGTGTATTTTCAGTGGGGCTGAGAAATATACTGAGACAGTCAGGTTCCAGCCAGGAAAACCGGAACCACGACAGGTATCTAAAACAGAAAATTTAATATAGGCAAGCGATGGAAGCTCAGAACTTAAAAAGGAGTAGTGAGACAAACTGGAGATACATAAGAGCAGAAAGCCAATTCCATGCCTGAGTTGGAGGGAGTCCAGTCCTATGGGATTTGGAGCCATGGAGGAGAGGCAGCCCCTGCCAGAGACTCCCAAGCAGAGGGTGAAAGAAATACTCTGGTTTCTCCCTCCTACCCATCCGCCAATGACTCACAAGTGCCCTCTGTTAACTGAAAGCCAGCTAACATGGAGCCCTAGGAAAGACATTCTTTAGGGATCAAATCTGCTGTGAGAGCACAGCACGGTACAAGGTTGGCACTGGTAAAGGCAGAGGACATTCTCAAAGAATTCCCAGCCTATAGAGGAAAATGAGGTATATGTAATAAAAAGCGAATGCAAAAGTGATTCCAAATCAAGGCTTTTCTCTAGACAGCCTTCATTGTACTTGCAACCCCAATGGCATCAGAAGGACCTCGAAAGTGGAGAACCAAACTAACCAGCCAGCCCCTGGGGGAGCAGGACCTTTGGGCTACAAGTGGTCAAGGGATTGGATAGAAGATATTTGTGGAAGGTTTCCTGGAAATACTGGTCCTGGATCAGGATCTTGAAAGATGGGGAAGCTTAGGGGATGAGGGCAGCAGGTGTTCCAAATGAAGAAAGCTGTGGAGGACAGTATGAGCATTGATTAAGGGCATTAGAATCAGGCAGTTCAAGACTCTAGCCCCAGCTCCATCACTTCCTACCTGCACTATCTTAACCAAACCACATAAACTCTAAGCCAAAGAGTTCTCAACTTGGAAAGAGCAGTAATCACACTGATCTTTTAAAGTGGTGAGGGATTAAAGGTGATCATGCATCTAATGTTCTTATACAGCACTTGGATAACTCCCTGCCCAACAGTAGGAGTTATTATTATCTTTATTAATTACAATAAATTACAATCCTGCCTTGAGGAGGCCAGTTCTTTTTTTAACATTCCGTGTCAGTTCATCTTTCTGAGACTGAGCAAGCCTTGTCTCACTCTTCCTCTTTCCTTTCCTCCAAGAGTATTTGCTAAATAACTCGCTGCATGTGACTGGCTGGAGCACTGTGTTAAGACGAATTCTGAGTGCCAGAACTTTAAGTGCTTCTAATCTGGAATTGATTGCCAATCAATTCCACTTCACTAACACAAAACTTAGGAGAATAAACATGGGTGCTTTGATTTACTACCGATGCCTCCAGAAAAAAGAAATCTTCCAGTGGTGGGTATTTTAGATAAGGTGGCAGCCTTCAGAGAGTAGTCACTTGGAACAAGCTGATGGGAACAGATACACCTTCTTGCAACATAAAGGGTACCCCAACATGGCCCTGTTTTGAAGTGAAGTATTAGGTCTATGGCTGATTATTATCATTCTGTGTTGACTTCATTGACATACTAAAGTGCACCTTTTAGTGGCATGTGAAAGCCAATAGTGGGAATCATTTGTTCAGTGGGATCTGTCATCTGGGTCTGTGAATGATTTCAGTGAAGTGTGCCCACCAGGTGTCCATTTGCTGTCACAACCCTTGCCCATTCTTCTAACCTTTACAAACTGCCTTTGTCAGGCTTGTTGATATGGGCCCTGGATGAGCAGTTGTCTCACTGGTCTTCAGCATCTTCAGTTGCAGCAGCTCCGTATTTTGTGCCCAGACGTGGATACAACCTAAGGATAAAGTGCAGTACTAGAAACTTGGACCTTCTCCACATACCTCCCTCCTTTCCTCATGGAGGAAAATGTTCCCAAGATGTCCCCATAAATGTTGCCTTAAATCTAACTGGCTACGCTTGGTCATATGGCCAATGTCAGCTGCAAAGGGAGCTGGGAAAATGAAATTTGGCTTTTCTGGGTCATAATGAAGGCAATGGGGTTAGAGATTAGGAATGGCCATGGGATAGACAACCAGTAGGATCTGCCCTAGTGCCTGTTTGTTATGAGAATAAAATGAGTTCCTGCACATATAACGCTTAGCGTAGTATCTGGTGTGAAGTCAATGCTCAAGAAACATTTTGATTATAGGATGCAAATAATTTTGTGTTGATTTCTCTACCTTTCTGTTTATCAGTCTATCTGTTCATCTATCCATCCATGTATTCATTCATCCACCCATCCATCCACCTGTCCATCAACCTATTCATTCATTTGTCTATCTATCCACTCATCCATCCATTCGTTCATCAATCTATCCATCCATCTCTACTTCTTTGTTGGTTTTGGCAGTGGACTGTCAGCAGGGTCCTCCACTGATTCCTTTTGTTGGGTGAATTATTTGATAAGCTCTTTGAAATAGAGGATAAGAATCCCCGCACAAGACACCCATGACGTCTAAGGATGGTGGGCTGTTAACTGAGGGGCTCAGTTTTGCTAAGTGGGCAATGCAAGTTCAAGCCTAGAGCTGAGTTTCCCAGGAAAACAGACATTCTGGAGATGGTGTGTGAAAAAAGACTAGGAGAGAGGGGGATATATTATAAACTGCCAGTGTAAGGAGGGCCTTTGATGGAGAAATTACTGGTGGAAGTGTTCATTGACTTATGTGATGTGTGCAGCACAATGTAAACTCCTTTCATTGTCTTTTCATGGTATCTTCAATATAATCCACCTCATTTGCTAGTGTTTTTGAGATGGATTTAAGTTTTTAGGGATGAATAGCAGTGCTGAGTCTTTCTCTGAACTGGCATAGGTCAAATCCAGAGATGCCCATGTGGGACCGGCCACATATGGGTGACCTAATGAAAAACGAAGGCCAAATAGGATCATGTCCTCTATTTACTTTGGTCCAGGAAGGTAAATAAGAATTGCTTTCAATTTTTGACTCCATCCTATGAAAAGAGGCAGTGAGGAATCAGCTACTATGTTTCTTACATTCACAGCTGGGAGGAGAATGTCTTTGTGTATGATCTCGTGAACAGCTGTGTTCCTGGTATCCCAGCTGACGTCTGGACAGGCCTTCATGATCACAGACAGGTGAGAAAGCGATGGCCATTGGACCCTTTGGAAGCTCCAACCAGGATTCTTTTTTATTTAATAAACCTTTCACATCTGTGCCAGGTCACGGCTGTGCACACAGCAAACAGAGAAATCAGACACCAAATGCCACAGTTACAGCATGACCAATTTGTGAAAGACATTTAATGATGTCCTACTAGATGATGCAAACAGATAGCATGGTCAGAGAAAACCTGTTTGGCTTGGGTTCTCTTAAAAAAAAAGTCACTAGGCTGGGTGTAGTGGCTCACACCTATAATCTCAGCACTTTGGGAGGCTGAGGCAGGTGGATCACGAGGTCAGGAGTTTGAGACCAGCCTGGCCAGCATGGTGAAATTCTGTCTCTACTAAAAATACAAAAATTAGCCAGGCATGGTGGCACGTGCCTGTAATCCCAGCTACTCAGGAGACTGAGCTGGAGAATTGCCTAAACCTGGGAGACAAAGAGGTTTCAGTGAGCTGACATCATGCACTCCAGCCTGAGTGACAGAGCAAGACTCCATGTCAAAAAAAGAAACACTAAAACATGATTAGATGTGCAAGAGATGTTGGAAGGGAAATATTTGTATGTGAAAAAGAGGAAGGAGGCATAAGTAGGCAGGGAAGGACTTCAAACAACACCTTGGGTCTAAGATATGTGAAAGGAGATTGGAGAGGAAGGACTGGGTAGGGAGAGCCTCATCACAGCACAGTGCTGAGAAAGCCTTGGCTAGCCCAATGGGGCGTCCCCAAGCAAAAATGCCCAAGACTGGAATCCTGCCCTGGGCAGGAATGCACCAGCACTATTACCTCTGACATGCTGAATCACTGGCTGAAAACAGCCTGGAGGAAGCATGGTCTCATTGTGAATGCAATGGTAGCTCCAAAGAGGCAGAGGCATGTCCCTTAGCACAAACAAGGCAGTGAATCCAAGGTGGCAGGAGAGCTGGAGCTGTCCATCAACTCTGCTTTCTGCTGGTCCTCCTGAAGGTGATCTGTGCAATGTACTTCTGTGACTGCCACAGCCTTCCTGGGTAAGAGCTACTTAAGTTAGTATCTAATGGATAAATAGACATTAGCCAGAGACAATCTATTCCAGGTAGAGGAAACAGCATGGGTCAATGTCCTGAGAAAGGGGAGGTCATGGCACATTCAAGGAAGTTAATTAAGGAAGACCACTGTGTCTAGGGCACAGAGTGAGATAGGAGTGGGTGTATAATAAAGCTGAAGATAGTACCTTGGACCAGATCTCTGCAATGTCACAACAAACTCCACCTGGGGATTTTTGTCCTCAAACTTTGCCTTGGCAAGCTGCATGCTGAGTCTCTATTTTGCATGTATGCTTCTTGCCCTGTTCAGAGTACTACAGGGAATAAGGTTCTGGTGCCAGCTCCTGTTCTGCCACTTACTGGCTGGTAGGTGATTTTATGCAAATTTTAAAAACCTCTCTGAGCCTCAGTTTTCGTGTCTGTACAATGAGGATGAAAATAATAGTGCCTTGTGAAAAGAAAAGTAAGTGAGCTAATAGATGTAAAGAGCTTAGTGTGGTGCTTAGCATACTATAAGAACTCTTTAAGGATGATAAGAATTGCTGTTAAAGTAGCAGAAGTAACAGTGTGGTCACACCCAACATTTATTTATTTATTTCTATTGAGACAGAGACTTGCTCTGTTGCTCAGGCTGGAGTACAGTGGTGCAATCACAGCTCACCACAACCTTGAACTCCTGGGCTCAGGCTATGCTCCCAGCCTCGGCTCCATAGCAGCTAGTACTACAGGCTGGGACCACCACACATGGATTGTTTTTTTAAAAATTACTGGTACAGACAGGGTCCCGCTATATTACCCAGGCTTTTCTCCCACTCCTGGTTCCAGGTGATCCTCCAACCTCAGCCTTACAAAGCGCTGGGATTATACGCATGAGCCACCATGCCTGGTGATCTTTTAAATCAATAGACTTACTCTGGCAAGAACACATACAGAAGTTACAATTTTGAAAACACTAAAATGTCCATTTATAATAGCAACTCTAGAATCGGATTATTACTACACTAAATCAGAGTTAAAGAAACTTGTATTAAAAGACAATAATAATAATAATAATAATAATAATAATAAATACAGGAAAATGCCTTTTTTCTTCTTTTCAGAGCTAGGCACCGTGGGTCGGGCATCGTATTAAGTCCTTCACATGCTTCAGTTTTTTTCAGCCCTCACAACAGTTCCCTAGGGGACATATTAACTCCACCATACAGATGTGGAAACTGGGGCTCAGAGAGGTTAAGTAACTTGTTCAGGTTGCAGAGCTAGGCGGTGGGCAGACATGGGGTCTCAAGCTCTCATCTCTCTCTCAGAAGTAGCATGCTATTCCCATTATGTGACGTGAGCTCTGTAATCATCAGTGCTTTGGGGGAATCTTTTTTAAAAACTTAAATAAATAGAGAAATGGCTCTTGTTCCTAGACAAGTTACAAAATGTAGTTCTTTCCACAGTTAATTTACACATTTACTGCAACACCAATCAAATTCCCAAGAGGACTTTTCTTGCAATTGGACAGAGTAGTTCTGCCTTAGGCAAGAAAAACAGACTATGTAGACAAAAAGAAAAGAGATGGAGCGTGACTTCCATCCACTGGCAAAATGTAGTAGTTAGGGGTCTTGGGTAGTTGACTCAGGAAGACCTGGGTTTGATTCCCAGCACTCATGCTTTATTTGCTGTCTGAATGTGGGTAGACCAATCTGAGTCTCAGTTTTCTTATCTGTAAAATGGGACTGATGATGCCTGCTTTTCAGAATGGTGAGGATAAAGTGAGTAAAGTGCCTGTCCTGGCACATAATAAGCCCTCAACAAATAGCAGCTAGTAAGAGTAGTAATAATAGCAGTAGTATCAGATTGGTAGCAGTAGTATCAGAAAGCAGTAGCCTCAATGAGGACTTCTGTGCAGAGGTGTTAGAAATTGAGGTGATACCTGAGGTCAGGAGTTCAAGACCAGCCTGACCAACATGGTGAATCCCCATCTCTACTAAAAATACAAAAAATTAGCCCGGCATGGTGGCGGGCACCTGTAATCCCATCTACTCAGGAGGCTGAGGCAGGAGAATCACTTGAACCCAGGAGGTGGAGGTTATAGTGAGCCGAGATCATGCCATTGCACTCCAGCCTGGGCAACAAGAGCAAAACTCTATCTCAAAAAAAAAGAAGTCTCAAATGCCTGATCTTCTTTTCCTTGGCTTGCTTCCTTATCTCCCTGGGTGGAACCCTCCCAGGAAGGGCAGTTTGAATGGACTGACGGCTCATCCTACGACTACAGCTATTGGGATGGCAGCCAGCCAGATGATGGCATCCACGCGGACCCAGAAGAAGAGGACTGCGTGCAGATGTGGTACAGGCCTAGCAGTGGTGAGTACCCCTGAGACCAAGGCTCTCTGAAGGACACCCGGGAGGCATCACAGATGGGGAGGGCGGAGAAGTGCCTTGGCTGAAGAGGAGCACTGAACAGCCTGAGACTGGCAAATTGTTCAGCACCTTGGAGAGCGGTTGACGTCGCTAGGGTGTTGGGAACATGGCCATTCTCCACAGTGGACTTGCTTTAAACAACAGTAATTGGGTTTCTTTTTTAGCACGTAGATTCCAGCTTAGATAAAAAGATATTATAAGTAGAAGCATGAAGGGGAAAAAGACATGTATATAGAGAGTAGTCAAGGGTTGGTGTTTCCGTGTCAGCTCACCCACACACCAAAGTGCAAGCCCCTTCCCAAGGCTCATGCTCCTGAATATGTGAAGCAAGCCACACCTGGGGTGGCATGAGGGTGTAGGTAGTGACAAGAGTATAGACCTGGATTCAAATTCTGGCCCTGTTGCTTTCTAACTCTGTGTCCTTGCAGAGAATTACTTATCCTCTCTGAGTCTGTGTTTCTTCTTCTATAAAATGGACTTAATAATTTGTCCTGCCTACAGGACTGCTGTGAGGATTAAAGGAGGTGACGTTGATATAGCACGTGGCAAAAGCATAGACTTGGGAGTTGACTGCCCTTGTGTGAACCCCTGCTTCACCCTTAATGTACAGCCCAAAGATAATTCCTTAACCTCTGGTGCCTCAGATCCTTTGTCTTCAAAATGTGGCTAATGATACTTACCTCACAGATTAATGTGAATTAAAAAAGAAGACCATGTTCATAGAATAGCTGCCATGCTCAGTATTCGGTATTAGCAATCACCAGCATCATCATGAACATCATCACTTTCACACCAATCTTAAGAAATTGAAACAATATTCCCATTTTGCAGATGAGGAAAATGAGGCTCAGAGAAGTTTAGCAACTTGTTCCAGGTCATACAGCAAGCTAAGTAGTGGAGCTGGGTTTGAAACCTAGATCTGCAGAACTCCAGACCCAGACACTTAATTGCCGTTTCCTCTTTGCTCTCTTTTCTTTTCCTCATTAGGGTAGGGAGGTAGAGGACAGCTTATTATCCTCTATGTGGGAGGATATTATCCCCTACCAGGAACCCTCCTCGAGCCTGGTAGCCAGTATTGGGCCAAGCCTCTGGTTGAAGTTCGTCCTCCCATCCAAGGCAACAAGCCAGGATCAGCTTTATGCAAGAGTAAGGCTGGACAGCAGGCTTGTCACATATCAGCAAGAAAGAGCTGCCAGTGCAGACACGAGGCCTACTGGAGAGGGCTTTGCTTCAAGGGAGTGGTGGGGTTACTTTTATCTTGGTGGATGGATTTTCACCCAGATTCTCTGCTTCTTTTCATCACAGCTCTGAGGTCATGGAATGATAACACCTGCAGCCGAAAGTTCCCCTTTGTCTGTAAAATCCCGTCTCTGGCCATTCATTGATCCTGTCTTGTCCTACTGGTGTGAGCTCAACTCCAGTATCACCTTGTAGCTGTACCCAGTGTAGAATTGAAACTAAATACATGTAAAACATACATAGGAGATAAATCTCTTGGATAGAGATTTTAAACAAGCAGATCTTAATTATACAGGGTGGTGACTTGGCCAAGTGACAGGAAATTATACAGGGTAGTGACTTGGCCAGTTCAAATTGGCTTAATTAATTTTTTTAAAAAGGTGTTGTTGTTGTTGTTGTTGTTGTTGTTTTAATTGGCCCGAGTAACAGAAATCCAGGGGTTGTTCTGATTCAGAGTTGCATCTCACTGGGCTGGCTCAAGTCACATGCCCATCCCTGAAACAATCACTCTGGCATAAGCTAAGTGGCTAGCCCCTGCTTAACTGCACATCTCTGGGACAGAATGGGGTGGGAGTCACATCATTGGAGGGTCTGGGAGTGGAGGAAAATGGGAGGATGTTAGTCAAAGGATACAAACTTTCAGGAATAAGATTAATAACTTCAGGAGACTTAATGTACAGTATGAACTATAGTTAATAATAATGTATTGTGTTCCTGAAATTTACTAAGACAGTATTTTTTTTTTTTTTGAGACATCATCTCACTCTCTTGTCTAGGCTGAAATGCAGTGATTCAATCAGAGCTCACTGCAGCCTCGACCTCCTGGGCTCATGTGATCCTCTCACCTCCAGTCCTCAGAGTAGCTGGGACTATAGGGCACTACAGGCATGTGCCACCACCTCTGGCTAACATTTTTTTTTTGATGGAGTTCCACTCTTGTCGCTCAGGCTGGAGTGAAGTGGCACGATCTTGCCTCATTGCAACCTCCACCTCCCAGTTTCAAGTGATTCTCCTGCCTCAGCCTCCCAAGTAGCTGGGATTACAGATACTTGCCACCACACCCAGCTAATTTTCATATTTTTAGGAGAGACAGGGTGTCAGCTTGTTGGCCAGGCTGGTCTAGAACTCCTGACCTCAGGGGATGTACCCACCTTGGCCTCCCAAAGTGCTGGGATTACAGACGTGAGCCACCTTGCCTGGCCATGTATCTTTTTTTTTTTTTTTTTTAAATAGAGATGAAGTTTCATCATGTTGTCCAAGCTGGTTTTGAACTCCTGGGCTCAAAGGGTCCACCCACCTCAGCCCACAGTGCTGGGATTACAGTGTGAGCCACTGCACCCAGCCAAGAATATATCTTAAGTGTTCCCACCACCACATGGACTCTAAGATGAGGCTGGTTCTTCAAAGGAAAACAAAAATATTACCAAACTCATAAGTTGCTGGTGGGAATGTAAAATAGTGAAGCTGCTGTGGAAAAGTTTGGCAGTTCCTCAAAAAGTTAAACATAGGGTTAGATCTGACCCAGCAATTCCACTCCTAGATCTAGACCCAAGAGAATTGGAAACAGATATTCAAATATAAGTGGTCAGTTGGGCATGGTGGTTCATGCCTGTAATCCCAGCACTTCGGGAAGCCAAGGAGGAAGGATCAGTTGAGCCCAGGAGTTGAAGATCAGCCTGGGCAGCATAGTAAGACTCCATCTCCATAAGAAAATGTTTTAAATTAACCAAGCATGGTGACATACATCTGTAGTCCCAGCTGTTTGGCAGGCTGAGATGGGAGGATCACTTGAGCCCAGGATATCAAGGCTGCAATGACCCATGATTGTGCTACTGCATTCCAGCCTGGGTGACAGAGAAAGACCTTGTCTCAAAAAACAAAACCAAAGATCACAGCAACATTATTGATTTTTAAAAAATGAAGACAACCCAAGTGTTCACCAACAGATGAATGACTAAATAAATGTGGTCTATTCATAGGGTGGAATATTATTCAAGCATGAAAAGGAGTGAAGTAAAGATAGATACTGCAGCCTGAATGAACCTGAAAAACTTTATGCTACCAATCACAAAAGACCACATGTTGTATGATTCCATATATAGGAAGTATCCAGAATAGGCAAATCTATAGAGACAGAAAGTGGATTAGTGGTTGCTAGAGGATATGTGGAAGGGGAATAGAAAGTGAGGGCTAATAGGTATGGGATTTCTTTGTGGGGTGACAAAAATGCTCTGCATTTAGACAGTGGTAATGGTTGTACAATATTATAAATGAACAGGAAGTCACTCAATTGTACATTTTTCAATAGTAGTTAATAAATTTTACATTATATGAATTTTTTATTTTTATTTTTTGGAGACAGGGTCTCACTGTGTTGCCCGGTCTAGGGTGCAGTGATGCAATCACTTCTCACTGCAGCCTTGAGCTCTCAAGCTGAAGTGATCCTCCTGCCTTACCTCCCGAGTAGCTGGGGCTACAAAAGTGTACCACTTCTCCCAGCTATGTTTTTGCCTTTTTATTTTTTTGTAGACACAGGGTTTCTGCATGTTGCCCAAGCTGGTGTCGAACTCCTGAGCGCAAGTAATCTGCCCGCCTCAGCCTCCCGAAGTGCCAGGACTACAGGCATGAGCCACTATGCCTGGCCCATTATACGAATTTTATCTCAATTTTTTAAATGTTACCAGAAGAAAGAATGCATGCCAGGCAGGAAGAACAACAGATATTTATTAGTAGAGAGAACATTGAACAGAGAGGCAGGAGACCTCAGTTCCATTTCCAATTCTCTGGGCCTTGTTTCTGCTTTGGTATGGATTGAGTTTGGGGGGAGGGGACCTAAAAATCAGGCCCTTCAGCACCAACAAGGAAACACAGAGAGATTAAAATATGCCAAAAAAAAATTGGCATTTGGTAAATTGTGCGGTTTCTCAGATTTTTGCAGGAATATTCTTCTGAAAAGGATGTTAAAATGGGACTTTGCTATGGCTTCAGAAGTGGTCCTTGGGACTCCAATTGAAAACAACAGGTTCTAATTACCTCTGGTTCTGAAGAGAGCAATGAACACATGGGACCATTCAGCTACCCTTAGAGCTTACATAATGGTTTGCAGACCTGGCCTTACTCCAGTCAACCACATGAGTAGGGGAAGACAAAGACTGAGATCCTTGGCCTTGTAGGGAACATAGCATCCACAGTGAAAGGGGTTTTTGTCTTTTCTTTCTATGGAAGTAGGAGGGGATGCTTTCTCTCCATCTCCAATATCAAATGAGCAGAACTTTAAGAAACTGCTTGTAGAGATGGGAGTGCCCTTAAGAAAGGTACACTGGCTTTTCACTCCGCAGCAGAATACTGGCTATGTTCTTAAAAATTCTGCCCTTCCCAGTACTACACTGGAGAGGAACTGAATCAGAGACTTCTCAAGAACGCTTCATGCACTCAGGCACGGTGGCTCACGCCTGTAATCCCAACACTTTGGGAGGCCAGCGTAGGAGGATCACTCAAGCCCAGGAGTACAAGATCAGTCTAAGCAACATAGTGAGACCCCACCTCTATAATAATAATAATAATAATAGTAATAGCCAGGTGTGGTGGCATACACCGGTAGTCCCAGCTACTCGGGGGCTGAGGCTGGGAGGATTCCTCTAGCCCCGGAGGTCCAGGCTGTAGTGAGCTGCGATCATGCCGCTGCATTAGCCTGGGTGACAGAGTGAGATCCTGTCTCATTGAAAAAACAAGCAAACAAGCAAAAAACCAAAAGAATGCTTTATGCATCCTGAGAATTTAGGAGTGTAAGGAGGAAAACTTTTCCTCTATCCTTTTATTATCCTTTCTGGAGGCCTGTGAATCAAACTATCAAAAGACAAATTAACAGAAGAAAAGGCATAGAAGTTTTGTAGATGTTTTTACATGCAGAGGGACTTCATAGAAAATAATTGATAACCCAAAGAGGTGGGTAGACTTGGGGGCTTATCTACCATTTTAACAAAGGGGGATAAATTGTGGAGAAGTGATTAGAAAAAGGAAAAGGGGGTTGGCTTTCTAGTGGTGGAAAATTGTGGGAAGGTGACTAGGAAATGGATGGTAGATAAAGATTGTTTAGTAAGGTTTGTTACGTAGACTCAAGTGATCTCCAGGGTCATTCACTTCTTCCTAGTACAGGAGAGGGGATCTTGCTTACAAATGGAAATTTATGTTACATTTACAAAGAGAAAGTTATGCTCTGTGTGTAGGCAGATGTGGGGTCCTAATTAGGGAAAACTAGTCAGGCTGGTAGGACCAAGGGAAAGCAAAAAGAGAGAGCAGATTAGCTATAAGTCTGCCTTTCTTCATGGTCCAGGACTCAAGAGCCCTCCTGCACAAAAAGCTCACAATCCTTCTGTACCCAGCACCCACCAGATCCCTGCAAGTTAGCTCACTGCAACCTTGGCGTTATCAGTGCTGCATGCAGCACTCTTCAGCATAAGTACCATTCCATAACATCCCAGCAACCCTTTGTTTCCTTGCTGACAGCCGCTTCTCTGCTGTGCTGCCCGTTGCAACCTTGCAACATACTTTCATAGTTTTCTCTAATAAATCTGCCTTTTTTTTTTTAACCTACAACTGTCTTGGTAAATTCTTCTTACCCCTGCACCACTGGTCCCAGATAGTTGTCAATCACCATTGACAACTGGTGGACAGGCAGATGCTCGTTGTGACAGCAATAGGGGAGGACAGAGAGCTCTTCTTTTGTCTGCTATTTTTCTGTTTCTTTTTGTTTTTTGTAGAGATAAAGTCTCACTATGCCACTCAGGTTGTTCTCAAACTTCCAGCCTCAAGCGATTCTCTTGCCTCGGCCTCCCAAAGTGCTGGGATTGCAGGTGTGAGTCACTGCGCCTGGAGGCTGAGGTGGGAGGATTGCCTGGCATTTCTTAATTGTCTTTAACTCAAAACAATCCTGATGCCAAAGTGGCATATTTTGGGATATCATATTCTGATCCCTTTTAGGGGCATCCATGAACAGACTATCATGCCTACTGAGACCCCAAGTTAGGAAGCTTCTTGTAATTTCCCAAAGCAGAGAGGGTGAAAAGGCAGTGGCAAGTGAGCCTGGAAAGAAAAAGATGGACACATGGGCCTGGGTGGTTCAGGAAAGGACTTTAGTGGCTCCCCCTGGCTCCACGAGAAGAAGCACAGAGCTTAGAGTTGCTGCTGTGTGCCTAAGCTGCCCCATCTGTAAAATGAGGACAGTAAGTATGTACCTTACCGAGGTCAGAATTCAATGAAATAATATATGTGGAGGCTTTGAACAATGCCTGCACGTACAGCTATGTAAGTTAGGTATTATTCTTACTGTATTGGTTGGCAAATGATACAAAAGTGCCGTGGAACAAGCCATCC